TTATGATGTCAAGGTAATTTCAATTTCAACCCTATTTTGAATAATATTGCATTTTAGCCCTTGGGATCGAAAAGGTTTGCAAAATGGCCCATAGTGGCAATATAGTAATTTGGTCCAAGTGTATTACGTTGAGTGTACATTGTGTACGCTAAGCGTATTGGGGGTGCCCTACCACGTTGGGCGTACACATCGTATGCAGGGCGTACATGAGGAATCTGTAAACCCTAAGTTTTAGGGTTTCGTTGATAAGAGATATAAAGTTTGCAACTTGATCACTCCATCTTGTAGATCTAGAGATTTTTTCATTTAAGACACTTTTTGTCCCAAATATAGTGATTCTTGAGCATGTCTTGCTCTTGACCCAATAAGTCGTCCTTTCAGACCTTAGGAGGGGTCTTAAGTCATAAAAATGTGGTCCTGATGGTCAGTTTTGCTCCATGCATGCTATAGAAGGTCTTAATGCATTAAGATGTTGAGTTTTTGTGTTTTAAGAAATTAATGGACATGCAAAGTCATAAAGTTGGAAACTTTATGACTCTTGAGGATATTTTAGCATTGGATCTGTAATTGGAAGCATTAAGTCGAAGAATTAAGTGTTGAATGGGCTACGAGAAGGGTTCCTACATACGTTGGGTGTACCACAAGGTACACTGTGGGTACACATATATGGCCCCGATGCCTTGGATGCTTGTATGCCCCGTGTACGAAGCTTAAATCGGTTGAGTTTACTCGATTGTGTTGAATCTGTTGTCTTGTTAACTTTGACCAAGGTTGACCAAGTTTGACTTAAAGGTATTTTGGGTATTTTGAGCAATTGTTAACTCTTGGTCTCTATCTGTTGAATAAGTGACCTGTAGAGCCATTATTTGGAGCAGTTTACCATTGAATAGGTGACATGTGAGGTGAGTCTTCCTCACTGTACTTACGCGTCAAAGGCACAAAGGCTAACCATTGGATTGACACCCTTTTATACTTTGATTTATGATATGATGAGTATATGATAGACCTGTATGATTATGTGATAGTTGTTGTTATGCGTAGATCGGTATATCTGTAGGACTACATGTAATTTTTGGTTGCATGATTATTTGTCTATTGATTTTGTTCATTATCTATTATATGTCTACATACTGTGTTGGGTTAAGACTTTACTGCTTTGTGCCCGAGTCAACAGACCGAGGGTATTCCAGTCCGATGACTGAGTAGGCCCGTTGTATATTGGTATTCTAGTTCGATGACTGTGTGGACCTGTTGCATATTGGCATTTCAATCCAAAGACTGACTGGGCTGAGGGTAATCCAAACCGATGGCTATGGACCCTGGGGCATTCCAGTCCGATGAATGATTGGACCCAACATGCTTGTTTTTATATTATATGTGTTTTGTGTGGTGGTACTTTGGGGGTAACAAATCTCCACCAGCTCCCACTTTCACTTAGACATCCTGGAATATTTAATATTCTACTATTTGTAATTAATTAATTAATTAACAAAATAAGTCTCTCATATAAATACTTTTCAGTTATGCTTTATTTTGTTCTTACGTATAACCCAAAAGGAAAATACTATTTATAGTAATATTATCGGGCTTGTTATGGCTGTGACACAAATCTCCACCGGCTCCCACTTGCACTTAGACATCAATAATTAACCGATCCAATACTTACTAGTGAAAACACGGAGCGGCAATCCAATGCAACTACTGCACTTATAAAAACTTTGTTATAATCAGCCCTAAGACTAATGACTTAAAATTTCTTTGATCTTCATGATATCTTATTGTGAATTAGAGATATGGATTTAGGGTCAATCTCATGGTTCAATACTATGTTTCCTGATATCGAGTTGTGGTGACCTTCAGACTAACTATCAAATCAAATGAACTCAATCTCAACTTGGTCAAACATTTTTTGTCAACACCAAATCCATGAGAGGCCCAAAGATAACTACTTCTCCATTTCTGGAAGAAGAATCAAATAAACTTCGACTACATTGGTCGTTCCTAGTCCTCTTGAGATATCTAGCCAAACTCTATATGGATGCTTGTTACGAACAACGTTGGGGAAAGACTAAGGTATAAAAGATTATAGATCAAAACCTCATGCATCTCTATTTGAAGAATAAGAAATATAGCCTTTTTAATTTACTCATGACATGATCGATGTCGTACTTGAGAACAATCATGAATTGCAGAATAAGTAGTAATTAGGTTGGCATTTTTTCTAGCCATGCCATATATTATTTTGAGATAAAGGCCCTCATCAAGTCGTCATCGTTATCATTGACTTGACACAAGAAACGCAAACAATCATGAAATAAGTATACAAATAAACCGACATATTGACACAAAAGTTCAATAAAACATTTAATCAAACACATGGTGTACATTTCCAAAAATATTTCTCTGAAATAAGATGAATATAAGGAAATCACCATAGAAATAAAACCTGATATCGATCAAACATCTCAGTGTAATGAAATTATTAAAAAACTAAAATCAATCTAATTTAATTTCATCTGATATGCAACTAGAACCAACTAAATAAGTTAAAATCGAATAACGAATCACTTTGTCACGCGATTAACATGAAAAAATTAAGAAAATAAGGATGATAAAAAAACCCTTGAATGGAAATAAGATGAATCTTCGTGATTTAATATGTTGGAAAGAATCGAACAACTCACAACAATCGACGGACTCAAAACAAACACCCATCTTGGTAATAGTAATGGAAGAGGGCTATATGATGATCAAATTTGTCTTCTGAGTTCTCTTAGTTGATAGATGTGATAAGGTATGAGGAATAAAATAAGGTCGCGTTAACTTAAAAGCGGATAGTTATTTGGGTACCTAAATTAATATACTCTTACGAATATATATATATATATATATAAAATCGGGTAAGGACTACAAAAACGATAAATAGTGTGATAACAAATACTGACCTTTGATTATTAAAAATGAATGACTGAAATTTGACATAAATATTAGTTAATTAAAAAAATAATGATATTTTATGTAAATACCCGCATACACGCAAGCAATACACATTCTTCCATTTCTTTGTTGCTACGTGACCTCTTCTAATTAGTTAGTTGTTATGTTTTTCTTCATTCGTTTTGTTTGTTGGCCTTAATTTTGTTCTTTGATTTTTAAAATTTAATTCTCTACGAAAGTATAGCAATTAAAATTTGAAAAAAAAAATATTATTTTGTTCTTATGAAAACACACATATATATTCTTCAATCATTACGTATCTAATATGGTCCAAGGTAAGTCCTAGGATCTATTTAAATTTTCAATTTTATTTATAATATATATTTTAGAAAAATTAGGTATTACTTTAGAAAAAATAAAGAACCTATGTTTAGTTTGTTTTTTACAAAAATATCTTAAAAAAAATCATTTTAAAAGAAGAAAAAAATAAGTTATTATGATCATTTTGTTATTTTAAATTATGGGATTGATAACAAAAAATTAACCATTCTTAATCGGCGTTCTCAAAATATCAATAAATAAGCCCACATGCTAAAGATTTTCACTCTCCGTTCACCGCTTTATCAATGGATTAATAATCAACTAGTTTTTCATTAAAAACGTACTGCTTTTTTCCTTTATATTTCAATCATTTTGTTAAATTTTTTAATCGATGGTGTGTGATCGGTTTTAACAAGTTGAACTGATTCGTCCATTTTTTTAAGGTACACGACCCAACCCGACCTAGACAAGTGTTGTTGAATTTTTTTTTATTGTCTTCACTTAAATTGGGACCATGTGATTTTTTGGTCTAGATTTACCACTGTCTTCAATGATATTTCATGTACATGCGACACACGTGATTATATCCTTGAGTCTGTATTGAGTTCCACGGACATGCGTCACATGTGAGCACGTTACGCCAAAAGATTGGTTTTGATGTTAATGCCTTTGACGAAGTGGGTGATGGAAAATTGCAGGCCTAGTCCAGATGGTAGGTAATAAAGATGCCACTCCAAAAAAATAAGAATCATAATGGGGTTAAACCAAATTGAACAAAACTATCAAAAACTTATAAAATCTAATGCTTTTTTACGAAAAAATCGTAGTGTTAAATCCTTAAATTTGTTTTTATCTTTATGTATAATTTGTCAAAATAATGTTAGTGGGGTAAATATGTCTTTGACTATGAAGTTAAATATAAAATAAAAAAATAAGAATCAAAATGGAATTTGTAGTTTTAAGTAAAAGACAATTCTTGAGAAAAAGCTAAAAGAGACAGGCTGTATGAAGGGGCAAGTGTTGCCGCACGTATCTTATCATCCATCCCTCTTTTCATTTCACTTAATTATTTAATGATAAGATCCGTTGCATATTAGTCGTTTTTTATTTCTATATTATATTTGATGATTTGATATCAGATTTGATTATAGACATGCGCAGACACAAGTTATATAAAAATCATACGGAAAAGTGGCCCGTGTTTATTTTATAAAATCAAAAATCAAACACAGTGTAGATAGTTGTACTACTAATATTCAGCCGTTAAATGAAAAGGGAAACCAATGTCTTGTTGCTAAATTGTGTTTCTCAGTTAAAGGCTAAAGCTATTTTTTGCTAAAAAAAAATTATTTTTAATAATTATATAGCCAACACGTAAATCGTTTGATTTCATTCAATTTTGGGTAAAAGGGAAATCTCCACTTTAGTCCTATTATTTTACCCGCGTTTATGATATAGTCCTAAAATATTAAATGTTAACGGAAAAGCCCGAAATACCGGATAAAACGGCGAGTTGACCCAATTTACCCGGTTACCACTCTTGCAACCGGTGACAAATCGATGTGGCATTAAATGAGATTAGGTGGAAGGTGAGTCGACCAAATCACACACTCATTCCTTTAACGGTAAATCACACACACTTATGGAAATATCTTCTCTGTAGACGGCATTAAATTAGGGTTTTTTACGTGTGAAGAAGACGACAACTGTGACCATGAGTTCGAGTCTTCCAAGCTTTGCAAATGGAAGACGTTTGGGATTTTGATACTATTGATGTTGAAGTAGACAAGGATTTGAAGAAGCAAACCAACAGATGCAATGATGCGTTCTTGAACAACTTGTGTCCCGACATAGCTGGTGAAGAAGGTGATGACTTTGCAATCCCTGAAATTGAACATATCGATGACGATGTTGACTTAAATGAAGATGATGTTGTGGAGAATGAAGATCAATTTGACTTAATGCGAGAAGGAAGTGGGTCTGATGAAGAAGTATCAAGTGAAAGCGACCAAGATTCTAAGCTTGAGTTCGAGTACAGCACCCACGATCCAACAGTTAAATGGAACAAGATGAGACCATTTCTGGGAGAGAGGTATGAATCACCCCCATCAACTAAAGTTATGTTTAACTAACCATGCTATTTATACTGGTTATAAGATAAAGTTCAAGAAATGTGATAGTCTTAAGCTAGTTGCTGTATGTGCTAGTGATCCACAAAAATTTCAATGTCCATTTAATGTTAGGGCTTCATGGATGAACACAGAGAGGTTGTTTCAAATTAAGAAACTTGTTGACAAACATAAGTGTGTTAGGAATGACAGAAATACCAACCTTATGGGTCCAACATGGTTAGGAAACCAGTTTCTGAAAGAACTGATTAGGAAGCCCAAGTTGAAGTGTAAGGAAATGCAGGTAATTATCCAAAGTAGATTCCACTGCAATGTGTCCTGGTCAAAGTGCTATAGAGCAAAGTGTAGCGCCATGTCTTTGATAGAAGGGAGATTGAGTGACCACTACGCTAAAGTATGGGATTATGGTGGTGAGCTGTTGAGATCAAATCCAGGTAGTTCAATTAAAATTACTGTCAGTCAAAACCAGGATAACACAACTACTTTCCAAAGAATATATATCTGTTTTAAGGCAATAAAAGAAGGATGGAAGGTTGGTTGTCGTAGGGTTATTGGGCTAGATGGTTCTTTTTTTAAAGGTCAATGCAAGGGAGAATTGTTAACTGCTATAGGGAGAGATGCAAATAATCAAGTGTATCCCATTGCCTGGGCTGTAGTTGACATAGAGAACAAGTTAATCTAGAAATGGTTCTTGGAATTGGTAAGAGATGATTTAGAATTGGATGGTGGAAGGGGTATCGCAGTAATTTCTGATCAACACAAGGTAATTCACAAAACTTTAGTATTTGTTTACTATATATTTCATACTTAGGTTATCTAATGTAATTGTGTTTGTTATGAATAGGGTCTTCTTGAGGCTACAAAGGAAGTTCTACCACTTGCACAACACAGACAATGTGCCAGACATATATATGCCAACTTCAGAAAGGTGTATACTGGTGTTGTAACAGCCCGGAATTTCAGGTATTACTTTAAACTATTTTGGGGAATATTTAGGGGGGGACTCGGCGAGTTGATGCCTGACTCGCCGAGTAGGACCACGGTCTTGGTCACAGATTCGCGACTGGACTCGACGAGTCCATTAGGGACTCGGCGAGTCGACGCTGTTCAGCTGAAACCCTAGCCGTTTTGATTCTGGAGCGTATATAATGTTTTTAGGGCCGTCATGTCTCGTCTTTTGGCTGATTGAAGATAACCTAAAAGTCTGTGGACATCTGGAGCGAGGGTGAAGGCTAGTGGAAGCTTGAAGAGGTTGTTAGGCAAGAAGAGGCAAGGCTGTGGTCAAAGGAGGATCAAGGGGATTGAGCTCTGAAGGTTAGGGACACAGGGAAACGTTTTCCAGGTAATCCTCGGATCATTTCTGTAGTTTTGGTGTTGTACACGAATCTAGGGTTTAGGTAACCCATTTAATGATTAGTTAGGTTATAGTGTTGTTACAAGTGTTTAAATCCCAGTAATAGTATGTGTAAAGGTCCAGGAAGTCCCATATTTATATATTACGGAACCATGCGAATTACAGGAGGCAGTTGATTGACTGCATGGCGTGGACTCGCCGAGTCCAATGATCAGACTCGGCGAGTAGCTTGAAGATCCGCTTGGACTCGCCGAGTTGTTCGTCAGACTCGGCGAGTAGCCTGAAGATTTACTAGGACTCGCCGAGTTGTTCTTCAGACTCGGCGAGTAGCTTGAAGACTTACTGGGACTCGTCGAGTCGTTCTTTAGACTCGGCGAGTGGAGTCGGGGTGGCCCCGCGATTCTTTCACAAGGACCTCGTCGAGTCAAGGGGGGGGTACTCGACGGGTAGAAAAGGGAATAACAGGGATGTTGGGGAGGACGCTTAGACTCGCCGAGTCGCCTTTGCACTCGACGAGTCCGGTCGAGTTGACCGTTGACCTATATGTAATTTCGTAGGGTCAGTGTCTTGTTTGATAAGATCATTAATAAAGGTATGTGGTATTATAGGGAGTCTGCAGATTAACGGATCGAGTGCGAGTAGCTCCAAGGGGTTATAGTTTGCAAACTGCGAGGTGAGTCTTCTCACTATACTTCACCCGGAAGGGTTTGACTGTGTGACCGGAAGGTCGTATGTGATATATGTGATTTATGCTATAACTGAAAAGGTAGATGCTATACTTGTTATGTATGTTTATACGGGCCGGAAGGCGATATGTTATGTGGTAGAAGGAACAGGTATGATGTATGATATATGTGCTATATGTGTCATGTTATATGTGTTATGTTTTGTAAATGTTATGGGCCGGAAGGCAATATACTATGGGCCGGAAGGCAATATAATACGGGCCGGAAGGCGATATGTTATGGGCCGGAAGGCGATTATGTTACGGGCCGGAAGGCAATGTTATGTGGACCGAGAGGTCCGGGCCTGGAAAGGCGTATGTGTGTAAGTCGTATACTGGGGAACTCACTAAGCATTTATGCTTACTAGTTGTGTTTATGTGTTTCAGGTACTAGTGATGACCGTGGGAAGGCGCCGGCGTGACACGTACACACTGCCATTGTTGGAGATCTTGGGGATTCGTTATTTGTATTTTTGAAATGAACTTGGAATAAATACTTTTGTCGAATAATGCTGTGCTATTTTAAATGAAAATTTATTTGAAAATTTGAGCTGTTACAATTGGTATCAGAGCCTTGGTTTGAGGGATTCGGGTGTACTTTCGGGTGCAACTGAACTCAGACCGAGGATTTGAGGAAAAATCTTTTAAAAAAATAATAAGGACATAACATTTCATAAATGGTAAAGCGGTAAAACAAGAACGGAGCAGTGTGTACGATCAGCCAGCGCCCGAACGGTAAAGATCCCCAGAATACCTTACAATGTTATGTTATGCACTGAATTATGAATTGTTATGCATGCTAGAAGACTAGGTATACATGATAGGACTAGAACGGCCTGTTTTGTGATGCCTTAGTCTAGGAAGATTGCTTATATGAGATATTTGGTAGCGTGCAAGTAGATAGTGCATACTAGAGGTAGAGTACTCATTATTCGGGGTTTGGGGAGGAAGATTTGGGACGAATACTGATACGGTGTGGTCAGTAGTATTGGGCCCGTACTACCGAAGGCACCGGGTCGGTGGAAGACCCAAGTAAGAATCCCTAGATACCGGAGACTGAGTAGGGTTGCGTTATCGAGTACAAATGTACTTGATGGAGTCTCTGATAATTTTATGTTGTATTTCAGAGACATCATGGTTACGACACGCCACGGAGCGAGTTCGAGCGGTATGAGTGACGAGGAGATTCGTCAGATGATTCAGGAAGAGGTAGCTGCGGCGGTTCGGGCTGAGATCCCGGAGATGTTTGGGTCCATTAAGACCACCCTGATGGAGGAGTTTGAGGAGCGGTATGCTGCACTGACTGAAGCTGCAGTCGCTGCCGCTACCGCAGCGGTGACCGCTGCCAGGCCGCAAGGGGGCGATTCGTTGCTCTTCCGAGAATTCAGCAACACGAAACCCCCTGAGTTCGATGGGACACAGGATCCGATTGCAGCGATGAGGTGGATCGCCGACATTGAGGGGTGCTTCTATACTTGCTCATGCCCGGAGCACCTGAGGGTACGGTTCGCCTTGAACCAGCTCCGACTGGGAGCGAAGGATTGGTGGAAGTTCGTGACGGCGAACTTCACTTTGGCGGAGATTACAGCGGTGACGTGGGAGAGGTTCACGGAGATGTTCAGGGACGAGTACGTTCCCCCGGTGGAGAGGGAGCGATTGATTCAGGAGTTCTTGACCCTTAAGCAGGGTACTGATTCCGTGGCAGTGATCACGCGGAAGTTTCATGAGAGGGCAATGTTCTGCCCTGAGCTGGTATCTACGGAGCAGTCGCGGATGAGCCGGTATTTGGGCGTTTTGAAGAGGGAGATCCGGGAGTTTGTGTCAAACTCCACCTATCGTACTTTCACTGAGCTTCAGGCGAACGCCAGGAAGCGCGAGATCGAGTTGGAGACTCAGGCGAGGGAGGAGGCCGAGTCTCGGCAGGTGGATCGGCGGCCGGCTCAGTCTCAGCCGGCAGCCAAGCGGACTAAGTCCGCTGATTCGAGGATGGGAGGTCCGAAGGGCCGCACTTGCGCGAAGTGCGGCAAGAGTCACGAGGGGGTGTGTCGGGCTGGTGGTTGCTACAAGTGTGGCAAGGAGGGACACATTGCCAGGGATTGCCCTAAGGGGTTTATGGTTTGCTTTCACTGCAACCAGACAGGCCATCGGAAGGCCGAGTGTCCGCAGCTTCGTCAGGGAGCTACACCTACTACCAGGACTACTGAGACCCGACCGGCGAAGGTCGAGGCCCCGAGGGCTCGCGGGAGAGCCTTTCAGCTGACTGCGGAGGAGGTCCGCGCTGCCCGATGTTGTGGCAGGTATGTTATCATTCACGTATTTACTTAAAGGTCGAAATGTTATGCTTATGTTAATGTATGTGTAGGTACTTTTCTTGTGAACTCTATGCCTGCTCTAGTGTTATTTGATTCGGGTGCGAGTAGATCGTTTGTATCGTTAGCCTTTAGTCAGCATATCGGCATTAGTCGTGAGCCGTTAAGTCGGCCTTTGAGCGTTTCTATTGCGGCCGAGAGGGTGGTTTGTGCTACGGAGGTTCTTCGGGGATGTGTGCTAGAGATCTTCGGGGTCGCGTTTCCGATTGACCTAATTCCTATTGCGATGGGGGATGTCTGTGTCATCGTAGGCATGGACTGGTTGAGCCGATTCAGCGCCGTCATTGACTGCGAGCGTCAGCTGGTGACTATACGAGACCCTAGTGGGGGAGTTCTTACGGTATACGGCGAGGGTACCCGTTCGGGATCAGCTTTTTGTTCGGCCGCTAGGGCGAGGCAATGCATACAGCAGGGATGTAACGGTTTTGTGGCGTATGTGATGGATACGCGGGAGACTTCCGAGAGACCGAAGACAGTGGAGGAGGTTCCAGTGGTGCGCGAGTTTCCAGATGTTTTTCCCGAGGATTTGCCGGGAGTACCTCCTGCGAGGCAAGTAGAGTTTGGTATCGATCTAGTTCCAGGGGCTGCGCCTATTGCGAAGGTGCCTTATCGTCTTGCACCTCCAGAGATGCAAGAGTTGTCCTCGCAACTCCAGGAATTGTTGGGAAAGGGATTTATTCGGCCGAGTAGCTCGCCGTGGGGAGCACCGATTCTGTTCGTCAAGAAGAAGGATGGTTCACACCGGATGTGTATCGATTACCGGGAGCTGAACAAGGTGACGGTCAAGAACCGCTATCCGTTACCGAGGATCGATGATCTATTCGATCAGTTGCAAGGGGCATCTTGGTTTTCCAAGATCGATTTGAGATCAGGGTACCATCAGGTAAGAGTGCGGGATGAGGACGTCCAGAAGACAGCATTTAGGACGCGGTATGGGCATTACGAGTTCGTGGTGATGCCTTTTGGGCTCACCAATGCCCCAGCAGTGTTCATGGACCTCATGAACAGGGTATGCAGGCCGATGCTGGATCGGTCTGTGATTGTATTTATCGACGACATTCTGGTGTATTCGCGGTCTAGAGAGCAGCATGAGGGGCATTTGAGGGAGGTCCTTGAGGTACTGAGGTCGGAGAAGCTATATGCAAAATTCTCCAAATGTGACTTCTGGTTACGGGAGGTCCAATTTCTGGGACACGTTGTTAATCAGACAGGGATATTGGTTGATCCGGCCAAGG